CCACATGCTACGTTGAACTGTCACTGAACTAGTTCATTTGCTCATCAGCTACTGCCCAAGCACTCTCTCTCTTGCTCTCTTCCTCTCAGAAAATGTGGTTTTCAGAGGTGAGCAAACACAACCCTTACCATTTTCATAACATTCACAGATTCTCCATTTCATTTTGAGGGTTTTACAATAAAAGTAGCCAATACGGCAATATATTGTGAACACTGTGATAAATAAAGTCACAACAGAATTTTCTGAATATATAATGAGTATTGTCAGTATTTCTAAAACATTCAACAACTGCACATATCATAAAATGGCTGATTAACACCAATTATAGAGATCCAGTAAACAACAACAACCACAAGTGTACGGTAAATGCTTAAGCTGCAATATACAACAGTTAGTTCTGACTGCACTGTCTGACTGGTTGCAAAGTGTTCCAGCTACACAAATAACAGCACTTTTGTTTGTTTTTTTTGTTGTACTACTACTGTATCCTTCCATTGATCACTGGCTGCTAAGTAATGAGTGCTTTGCAGCTAACTAATAGCATGTTTCTAATTTACCTCATACAAACTGGATACGTTATGTAACTTCTATAAGACAATGTTTGACCAGCAGCACATCTGGTCAGTTTCAGAAGAAGCTTTCTGGTCAGCAGCTGTGAGAGCAGAACAACTAATCAAACTGGAATTAGACACAAATGAACAGAATACAATTCAGCAAACAAGCTGGGCTGTGAAGTTCTTTACAGACTGACTGGAACAAAACTCTCTTCATCTGCTCATGAAATAAACATCCAAAAATGATTTCTCACTCCTGAATGATGCAGCATCGGTGGTCTGCGTTTCTGAAACATTAGGTTCAGTCAAATATTTGGAGGTGGACAGTGAAATGTTCAAGGCCAGATATTTCTAAAATGTATTTAGCTGTAGTTTGTTCTCTGTCTTTCAGGAGAGAGAAGAGGAGGAGGAGTTTTGGAGAGAAAGCCAAACATCCAGCAAATGTCCAATGCAAAAATGTCCAATGTTCTTTAAATACTGACAATGTCCCCAATATCCTCAGAGAAGCCTACTGTAATGTCATGTGATGCAACGTATCACATTTCCAATAAATTCTGTCATATTGTCTGCCCCTAGCTGATTGGGTGGCAGCCTGTTATGCCATTTTTTACATTTTTATTTGTACACATCTTATAATTTTTCTCATGTTTGTCCATTTTTTTTTTGGAAATGTTGAATAATTAAAAAACAAAATATTGTCTATTGTCAAAATATTATCCTTTTTTTAAATGCAGCACTACTGTTAGCTGGTGTCTTTTGTCTATTCCAAATCGTCTGCAAACTTTATAAAAACTGTCATCATCATGCATTGTGAAAATGTCTTGAAGCATCATAATGTTAAGATTTTTTGCTGTATCACCCAGCTTTACTTTAAGGTCCAATAAGTGCTCTCTTGCTCCTACATGCACTCATGTCAACACTTCGAGAAGATGTGTGATCCAGACTTATATTTCACACCCTGCTTCTCCACCACTCTTGTCTCTAATGACTGGGCCCTAATTAGGTTGTTCTCTGGTCAGTCTGAGGTGTTACCGATGGAGATGGATCATTGACGCCCAGCCTCATTAGCAGTTCTGGAGACAGGCATCAGTGCAGAGGTGACCGCGAGGAGCCAAAGGTCAGTGAGCCATTTGATCCATGTCAGAACGACCCACTTTGTTTGACCTGTTTTTGCTCAGAAAATGGCTCGTGGATATATATATTTTCCATATGTCACGTATGGCTGGTGGTTGGACACCCTATAATGTCGAAATTCTTTCTTACTGGATGTCTAAGACGTTTTGGAGATGACAGACGTCTTCTGAGAACTTTGCGATCACTGATTTGCTAGATCACTCACATATGCAAAAAAACCTCAAAAAGCCATTATCTAACTCCTCCAAAAGTCTTGCCAAGTTCCCAGAGAAGTCCATTCATTGTTACAGACCGCTGAACATCTTGCTTCTCTTCAGTCCCCTAGTGCTTCCAAGAACATGCACTTGCTGCCTGGCACTCCCCACAACTCTCCCACTCCACCACACACTTCCCCATCACCCACAGCCTACCATCCATCAGCACTACCATCTGCACCACTGCATACGGATGGGGCGTTACCTAACTCTATATTCTATCATGCTGGCTTGTTACCACTCTACATGTCCTCTTCTGGGAATGTGAAAGTGGACATGTTAGGTTTTTGCTAGAAGGCTTAGAATAAAGTGGTGGAAGGGGGTGGTGAGTGGGCTGGCTGATGGGTGACCCCGAAGCAGGGCACGTGTAATGACTATAACCACCTTGTCCCAACCAAATTTCCTGGTTCCCAATCCCTATCTGCAAATACCAGGTACAATCAGTATTGGCATGACCAACAATGGAACACCACAGTGAGTAAAACCCAAGACATGCTTGGCCGCCAATAACCTCAGAACGCTGCAGTAAAAACACTTCATTTTTACTATGTGCAGAGTGTGACACTCTCTAAACCAGGGGTCAACATTCTTACCCACAAAGGGCTGATTTGGCTGCAGATTTTTATTCCAGTCAAGCAGAAGCACACCTGATTCAACTTTAATAAGTTAGGTGAGCTCCTGCTTGGTTAAAATGAAAATCTGCAGCCCACCGGCCCTTTGTGGATAAGACCGGTGACCCCTGCTCTACACTGATCTGATATGTTTTTTGAAAGTACCATTTATAATACTTTTGTATTAAGTAATGAAGTAAAAATAAAGGTACTGAGATCATTGTTACTGCAGCTGCAAACCCAGTAAAAACCCATCTAAGACAAAAACGAAAATGGTATCAAGACGAAAAAGTAAAATTCAGTCTAAAATATGATACCAGCTACATAAAATACGGATTTATCACCACTGGGGATGCCAATGCACCAAAAACACTGTGTGTGGTATGCTGAGAGAAGCTTGCGAAAGAGGCATTTTAACCACTCTAACCTTCACCCTGATGGCCATTCACAGACTGACTGAGGATCAAGTGCCCTCTGTGATGCACTCTAATGTGGACTGGGGCCAAATGGTGTTGGGTTCATGAAAGGGACTGAGTCCAAAGTTTCTGGGATAGAGACAGAATATTTGAACGTGTCTACAAATGTGTAGTTCATAAGATTCAAGTTTATAAGAAAGTCTAAGCTTATACGCGGTTGCTGGTGGAGCAGTTTTAATGTAGATGGCATGTGTGGAAGCAAACACACGCAGAAAAAAGGAAAACAGACACATTCTCTCGCACGCACTCATGGCTTCATCTCTTACAAAAAATGTCCTGTTGAGAGGAGATCAGCTGATTGGGGATTAACAAACATTGATATCTTTGCCATCTGTCACTAGGTGAGTATGCAAACGCAGCCCTTTTCCTCCTGCTTGTGCCCAAATGTGATTATTATGAGCAAAATACACTAAGCATTGAGTAATTTGATACAGTGTTTCTTCATTTGTGTCACCCATTCAAAGTGTGGATGCTTCTCAGCGAAGTACATCCAAAACCTGCCTGCAATGACCAAGCAAAGCAAGACCATTGCCATCGACAGAGCAATCTAACTGCTTAACAGCTTTCCAGTTATTCAAGACAGTACTCAGTCAAAATAATGCAGGCAGTGTTTTTGAAATTTCTGCATAATTACAACAATGCCATGAAATTAGTCTTTCAGAGTGGTTTGATGTGAAATGCTCAATTCTAGAGAAACTGAAGTAGTCAGAATTATTTATAGTGGTGGTGACAGGAACCAGATGTCTGAAGAGTTTAAATGTCTCTAAAAGCTACCTAACTGGAAGTAGCTCCATGAAAGTGGTTACTAATATATTGCGCACTACTTGTTGCTTAAAAATATTTTTAAAAACAGTTCATAGAAGATATAGAGGCCAAACGTCATAAGGCAAAATAGTCCCCAAAGACAACTTATTATTTCAGCTTTACTGCTGTTTTATCATTATTAATGTTGTATATAAAACCTCAGTAGACAGGCGTAGGTTCACTGGTCAGTTTGGCTGGTAAATAAATGAACTCTATTTGCACTGTAGACATTGCAACTCCTGGTTCCTAACACAGCCCTTGTAAAGAAATCCGAAGAAGAATCTTTCTCTACAGTAAACCACTGGACATCAAACCACTCTGAATGACTTCACATTCAAAAGACCTGAAAAAATTGGGGAAAAATGTGTCACATGATTCACTAATGTGCCTTAATATATTGCAAAGTGTACCACAACTGCAGTATGCAAATATATAAGACTATACTAACATTTTGCCCATAACTTGCAGCCCGAAGGTGTATAGAAGAACACATACACAAGCATTTCATATTGCACCGCCTCTTGACCGCTCTGAATAGCGCATTAAACGAATTAGAGACAACAGCGCAACCAAGGCATCAACGCAAAGTTCAAGCAAGTTCAAGCTTTCTCTGGGCATCAGTAGGTGGGAAAGAACACGACACTATTTGTCTCTTCAAGCAAAAGCAGCGCTGGCTCCATCATCCCCAAGGAAGAGTCCACTTTCCGTGTTTATCCTTGCACTCGACTTGATGGCTGGACTTTTAACTACAATTTCTCACCGAAGTCTAAAGCAGCCATCCATCTAACAGTGACACATCTGAACATTTTACTCATGCAGCTCTGCAGGCGCAGCAAAGGCCTGGCAAGCACAGTAGTTTCCACATTACAGAGGGAGTAAATTCTCTTAATATGACATGATGGTTAAACAAATTAATGCATTGTACCTCTTCATCTACTATGATGGCACAATAGCACTATAACTACAGGAAGGCAATAAAAGCAGGGGCGGCAGTGTCCACAGCAGGCGGAATACGTTTCATTAGCACAGCCTCTTCAGCTCTACATATTAATGGCAGTGTAGGACAGGAGCTACCAGTGAATATCAGTTTCAGGTGACACACACACACACACATACACACACACACACACACACACACATACACACACACAGGGACACATACTCTACCTTGGCACTGGAATCCTTGCTTGCCAAATCCCCTGTGGATGTAAAAGAGAGACAGAATTTAGGAGATGTGGCAATAGGGATTGAAAAGCAAAGTAGTGTTAGAATACACGCACAAGATTTGCCCAGTGCTAATTGGCCCCAGAGTTCCTAATAGTTCTCAAGATCATTTGCAACCAATTTGCAGGTCCACTTGTAATGTGTGTGTGGGTTTATGTACCAAAAACAGTCAAAGTTCATTTTCACATGACACAAATTTCAATATGTGCTCAGAACAAAGTATCGAAAGTAAAACTTGGCATCTAAGTGCATCGTTACAAATAAAGGTGTTGGGAGGGGGAGGGGTGTACAATTTATGCACCAGTGTTCAAACTGGGTGTTTTTTGTTTTTTTATTTTTACAAACACTTTTACATGATCATTTTCCATCCTCTATTTGTCCGTTAAAACCAAAACAACCGATTTTGTTACCATGCCTTTAAGACTAAGATGTGAATAAGCTCTGTTCTGATTGGCTGTCTTGTACTGTGTCTCATTTAAAGAGCAGTCTGAGATAAAACACCCCTTATAACACGTAAATGGGCAGAGCTAAACTGCCGCTGGCTGAACAGGCAGATATATGAAAATGTGTTGGTTCTCGTGACACCACAAAAACAATTCATTCATAACAGGTTGTTTTTGCAGCTTAGTTTCCTAAATGGCCTTCATGCACTGGAGCGTGTACATTTTGAAACTTTGGTAATGTTTATAAACTTCATCAAAGTCTTTTATTTAAAAAATAAAAATTCATTTTTCTACAATATAAGCCCTTAACAAATGTAAGTTAGATCATCAAAGACACATTAACACACACAAATAGTTGTTTTCCACCAGACAGTGTGGTACGATATATTTCAATACAGTTACAGTTATCACACATTTTCTTGTTATTTCCACTGCTTAGTTATTACCTGCGTTGAATTTGGTTTCCTTTCTTGCTGGGGCCCAAAATATGCTGAGCTGGAACTTGTGAGTGGAGCCAGTCATGGTGCAAACCACTGACATGTCAAATGCAATCCTCAAACAGAGTCACTGGAGTCAGATGATCACCATTTTAGAAAAACAACAGAAGCTAGCCAGAATCGCTGCCTAGAGTTCTCAAATAAAACCCAATACAGAGAAAAGGATTTTTGCTTACTGTAGATGTCTAATTTGTGAGAAATCATGTGACCAAACAAGCTAAAGAGAACTCGGCTACTTTCATGATTCTGTTGTGTGATGAAAAATTAACACAGATACTCAAATAGGGAACAAACAGTTTTGTGTTCAAATGTATAACTACCTTATAACTGGAACCGCACTGCACTGTGGACTAACACCAAAATTTGACTTTGGCCAAATATTTCTTACTGAAACATACTCAAACTAAAGCAACTGAGGTGAACATTGAGATGAAGTGCACAAAAGGTTAATTATATACAAAGAAATAATGTTTTATCATATGTCAGCTGGTATTCTTTTCAAAAAAATCTTCATATCCCAAACTGTTAAATGGATATACAGCATTCTGTACTGAAACTCTTCATATGTTAAAACACATGGGGCTAATCCAAGCAGAGTTGAACAAAGTACTTTTTTCAATACTTGATTACGGACAGGGGTTCTGGACATCTACCACCCTGTAGAGTTCAGATCCAACACAGATGGCTACAATATCCAGATGTCCCTGAAGGCCTTCTTTACCTGAAACAGGTGTGACAGATTAAGGTTGGAGCTAAACTCTGAAAAGTGGTAGATCTCCAGAACAAGGATGGGGTACTTAATCGTGGACATGTGACAGTGCATTGTGGGGAATATGCAATCTACTAATTATTAAATCAAATACGGCTGCATAGTTCAAGCACTAAAGTTCACAAACAACTAAAACAAGTGTTTGAATGTTAAATTGTGAACCCAGTTTCAGGAATCAAATGGGCCCAGCGTATTGTTACACTAATCTTAAGCACTTTAAGTTCTTTATTTACGCAAGACTGGGTTGACACTGTAATTTTCCTGAATTTGAAGAATTTTGTATGATAAAAAAATGGCTTAAATTCAAGAGGCATATTTTTACCTTATGTGACTACAAAAAGTGACTTTTCTCTGTGTTCAATCTACAAACCGCATTTCCAGAAAATTGGGACATTTAGTAAAATGCAGTAAAAACAAACATTTTTGATTTGTTCATTTTCTTGAACTTTCATTTAACAAAAAAGTAAAAAGATTTCCAATGTTTTCACTGACCAACATAACTGTATTAGGTAAATATAAATAAATTTAGAATTTGATGCCTGCAACACACCAAAAAAAAAAAGTTGGGATAGAAGCATGTTTACCAGTGTGTTGCATCACCTTTCCTTTTAATTACACTTTTTACCGGTTTGGGAACAGAAGATGCTAATTGTGGCAGCTTTAGAAGTGGAATGTCTGCTCATACTTGCTTGATACAAGACTTGCTCAACAGTGTAGTGTAATGTGCAGAATGAGGCCTGACATTGTCTTGCTGAAATAACCAAGGACTTCCTAGGAAAAAGACGTCATCTTGATGGCAGCATATATCTCTTATATACATCTTATAACATGTTAGATGAGCTCGGGCCCAAAGAACTCGGTGGCGTTTCTGCACAGACTTGATATATGGCTTTGTCCTTGTGCAATAGAGTTTCAAATTGCATTTCTTGCTGAAGCGGTGAACTATTAAGTGACAACGGTTTTCAAAAGTACTCCCAAACCCATGTGGTTACATTTAACATAGTAGCATGACTGTTTCTCATGCATTGCCATCTGAAGGCTCAAAGGTCACAGATATTCAACAGTGGTTTTCACTCTTGCCCTGCATGGACTGAGATTTCTCTGGATTCCCTGAATTTTTTCACAATATCATGTAAGGTAGATGGTGAAAGGCCCACATTCTTTGCAATCCTGCGTCGAGAAATATTATTTTTGAACTGTCTGACAATTCTCTCACAAAGTTTGGCACAAAGTAGTGAACCACAACCCATCTTTGCTTGTAAAGACTAAACCTTAGTTGATGCTCCTTTTATACCCAATCATGATACCCTCACCTGTTACCAATTTGCTTGCTTACTGCGGAATTATTCTAAATGGTGTAACTTGGACATTACATACATTTTTCATTCTTATTTTGCCCCTGTGATACAGACATTGAAGTCAAAACTTTTATATTCACAAAATAATGTTGTTCAGCCAAAACAATACTGTTTTGTACTAAAGGTCCAAGAGAATTAACAAATCCCAGATTCTTGTTTGCATTTTACAAAATATCCCAACTTTTCCAGAAATGGGGGTTGCCATAAACATTTGGTGTTGAGACAGGGATGAGTGGTTTTAACTTAAGTATCGTTTGGTATGGAGCACTGTCATACTAGATTTGGTGTCGGTATTGAAATCAAATTTCTGATATTGTGACAACACTACATCCAAGTACAGAGGATGGGTGTCATATACACTCTCAGAAATAAAGGTATTACGCTGTCACTGGGGCAGTTCCCCTCTTGTCACTGGGGTGGTACCCTCAAGGGTACATCTCAGTACCCTTAGTCAGGGAACATAACTGTACCATAATCAATTGAAACGATATTTTCCAAGTTGTATTGTCTTCACACACCCCGTCTCGTCTCCAGGCTTTTTATTTCATTGTTCTGTTGTGTAACATTAGGTTATGAAAAGATACAAATATGCACTTTTCCTCTAGGAACAACTTATTTAAGGTACACAACTGGACCTTACAACCACTGTGGTACTTTTGAGGGTACATTTACATCGTTTGTACCTTAATGAACGAATAAGGTACCTGCACAGTACCTTTATTTCTAACAGTGCACTATGGCCGTTAAAAACCAACATGTATTTACATAGTTTGGCATCTTCACTGCTACATATTGACAAAGAAGAGACGGAAACGGCTCTTCTGACATAGTAACGGATTTGTATATTCACTCCAGAGGACATTTCATTAATATAATTAACATTTAACAGCATTAAAGCGCGACTGAGTCCGAGCACAAAGCACAAAGACGCTGGCGAATAACAAGCCAACTTCAGCCTCGTCCTGTTTTCACCACTGAGCCCAAATTCAACCAACTGAAATGTTCATATGTAAAGTCTGGCGTTTCCTTTCAGCGATGTTACTGTGTCAAATGGTGATGGACGAACGACATTTTGCTTGGTTTCTCACAAAAAAAGAGTTTTCGGAATAAAGTTTACTCCTGTAGTCATAAGAAAACAGAACTGACCAACTTTCTGCTGTTCTCTTACAGAGAGGGGCGTCTGGAAGCGAGTTGTCTCTTACCAGATGAAGTCTGTGCAGTGGCTGCAGAAGGTGGGCTGCTTGAAGAAGCGCGCGATGAATTTGTGGTTCTTCACCTCGTGCACGTTCTTCTGCCGCAGCGCGCCTTTGCGGGCGAAGCGGTTCGCGAGCGCGGCTGAAGAGTCGTGAAGGTGGATGAGATCAGCCATGGCAGAAAGAAGCAGGAGCGCCCAGCCTGAACTCCGAGTGTGTCCGCTCCCGTCTCCCTCACTCTCCCTCCCTCTCTCTACCTCTCTCTCTCTCTCGCTTTTCTCCTCTTTTCGTCTGAGCGCTTCTCCCTCACTTCGACGTGACGTCACTGAACCTGCGTGCGCTTTTAGCTGAGGCGCGCGCGCGTCCTCCACCAAGTGCGAGCAGCGCCACCTCGTGGAGAGATAAAACATTACAGCTCAGCTCTGTGGAAGATCAAATCCTTTATTAATTTGTTATATTTTAAGTAATGTGTATCTATGAAAGCACACGAATCACCTCTTAAACAAAGGAGCGTTTACGAAACGAGAGGAAACATTTCGACGTGTTTTACAGGACATAACGGCTAAATCTGCTGTACTAAAGCCTCCCATATTACAAGGCAATTCCATCAATTTTTCAAAATTTCTAAATAATTCAGTCCTTGAGATGTAAACAGAGTAATCCAGAGTGGTTTCATGTGAAATTGTTAATTATAGAGAAACCTACAGACTCAGATTTCTTTACAGTGGTGGTGATAGGAACAAGGAATCACAATGTCTACAACATATATAGAACCATTTTATTACTATCCAAAACCACCAGTGAAACTACACGTCTTCTGAATTTTAGTATGCCATGTTGATGATGGTAAAATAGTCATAAACCTGAAAAAATAAGATTTCTTTGGGGACTATTTTACCTCACAGTGCCCTGCATGTATCCCTCCACCATGACGGGATTAAAATAAATGGATTAAAATACATTCATTTATTACAAAACTATCATAAATCTCAGTCTCAGAAAGTCTCATAAGTCTCAGACATCAGGCAGCATAGTCTACCCATTTCATGTAGCAATTTTCTGTTAGGGAGCTTTCAGAGGCGTTAAACTCTTCAGACGTCTGGTTCCTATCACCACCACTGTGAGCAGTTCTGACTCAGTGAGTTTCTCTAGAACGAACCTTCATACCAAACCACTCTGAATGATTGGTTATATCTCAACCATTTAATTATGTAGATTAAAAGGTGAAGTTCCCCTTTAAGTTTAAATGGACTGAATAGTATTTCCAACGGTGAATCACCTTTGACGCTTCAATTTAGGCTCAATTCATGTCTGGGAAACCAGCCCTGTACCATAACTAGATAATGAACGCTTCACTGATGGTGGTCTATTATTCTGACGTACAATTTAATATGGTCGTATGTGATTTTGAATGTAGCCTATACCTGCTCTGTTAAACTTTGGACAAAAAGTTTAAAGTCTAGGACGAGCAAAGAACTTTTGAAAAACTACAAGTGCTCTAGGGTGGGTAAACGAGTGCAGGCTGTTTTATTTATTTATTTTTATTAGCTAATACATAAGAAAGCCAGACAGCGTTTCTGCTGAAATGCTGAATGTATCCCATCAATGCATTTGTTCATCACCGTGAGGGAGATTCCCAACGGTTGTGCGACGTCTTTGCGTAATGCATGCTGGGTATTGTAGTGAGAGAACGTTGATGGACCAAAAAAATACAATGCAGCGCTACGTATGACATAAGATGATAAATATCATATTAAGTGGTTGTTTTAGACCTCAATACCCCTTAAAACACTCGGTTTTGATCTACAATTGTTTTGGCCTTTTTATCGTTATTAAGTGTGCCAAAAAATGACCAAAAGCTTCAAAATACTGCGCTTATGTTTTTTCTCAGGAAAAAAAAAATAAAATCAAAGACAAAATAATGTATATTTTTTTCTTTAAATCTTTTTTGGATTTCTTTTAATAGTATTGAAGTGTATTTTATCCATTGTACTCATTCGATTTTTTCTGTTTATCTGCTTCTATTCATCTATTGAATAAACTAACCACTACTGCTGCCATTGTGTCACTATTCTCTAACTGAGATAATTAAATATCTGCACACATGCGTTTGTTTGTTTGTTTGTTTTCCGTGTTTACAGCAGAGTCCTCAGAATCCTCTCTGGACCAATCCGGGAGCAGCTCGCTCCCCGCGCGCGGTCGGCGCTGTACGGTTGCTAGGAGACCCAACCGCTATCTGAAGCAGGATGAAGCCTGAAACCATAGAAGGCAAATGAAACAACCCGTTTCAAATATAAAGCCCCAAAAGACATCCGTCATAGTCAATCGTGGCCCTGGATTACCATCCACATTAAGTGTTTCCCTGCTCTCAACATACCTGCTGCAGCAAATAAACTAGTGGAAGAGTAAGTTAAACAAACTCTTCCTGAGATTCATTTCCAGCACTTTATTTAATTTAGCGAATTAGGGTATTCATTAAAGTGCTGCATAGTAACGTTAACTGTAAATACTGGGTTTCCACGTGAAGATGTCTGGAAATTGTTAACTTAGATCGCCTTCATTTCAATGTACTGTTTTGTACATTTGTTGATTTGCATTTATTCCAAAAAATACTGCTCAGATTAATCAGATTAGAGCTGAACACTACTGTTTATAAAACTGTTATATAAAAGTAGTGCTCCGTTTCTCTGTTAAACTGCGTTATATATGCATTATGCTTGTGCTGTTGAAATACTTTTCTTTCGCTCTTTAGCTACGACAACGTTCACACGACATTTATTAGTGTGGGACTTTTATTTTAAACAGTGTTTGCCCCGCGGCCATGTTTAAAGAAGGATACTGCATTTGACTTCACGGAACCTTTAGTTTGAAAACGTTTGGTGCACTGATTTATAAAAAAGTTGGCGTTTCTCAGTTACACTCAGTTTGGTACGGCTAAGCATCTCTTAAATGAAGAGTTTAGTGCTGGTATATCGTTGGTGGTTTTATTTAAATGTCCGGCTTGGACTTTATTTAGTTAACTGTCACTGAAAGTTTAGTGCATGAGATTTTACATCGGGCGCCGCCGAGCTGTTAACGCGTATAGCTAATTCCAGCTAACTTTAAAATACACGAGCTGTTTCAAATTGCAAGGCAAACATACACCTCGTGACTGAATTAAAGTCTGTCCACGAATCATATGTGACATTTAGGAGTATAACTAGCTGACGTTAAATAACAACAAGGCTGAAGTTGGCTTCTTATTCGCCAGCATCTTCGCCAGAATTTTTCGTTCCACCTTAAATGGTGCAGCAGTTAATGTAGCTGCTGCACTGGTTAAGGTGGAACGGGAAATTCGTACAAGAAGCCGACTTCAGCTTCGTTTGTTATTAATGTTTAATTATATGTGAATGCTTTCTGTTTAACGTTAGCTGTTTTACTGTCGACAAAAATAACGTTATATGTAGGATGTTTTGAACTTCTCGAAGAAACAATGTTCTGCTCTTTCTCGATTTTCAGGGCATCATGAATAACGACGACGACTCTTTGGAGAGACTGGACTCTGAATTTGATCACTATCTGGTTGACATGAAACCCTACGTTCTCAAGCTTCCCCATAAAACAGGTTAGTTCTGCTGGAAAACAGTTGTTTGAGGTTGGTTCTGTAAATGGTCTGCACACCCTAACCATAATTTCGTTCTGAGACACAATCTTCCCGTTACCCTAAATGTAGTCAGTTGGCCAAGCCAAGTTTGCATTGAAGCTAATGTCTATTAGAATGGCTGAACCTCAGCTTGCTCCCTACTCCACATGGACTGCAGATTGTAAGTAATGATTTAACAGCTTCTACACCCAAGTAGTCCATTATATGTCTAAAAGAAAACCTTTTATATTCAGACATATTTTGTGCAGCTCCATATTTAACATTTAGCATGCTATTTGGGTGTACAATCCATAGTGTTATGGCTTACCTTGTGCACTGTACACCGATCAGCCATAACATTAAACCTTCTTGTTTCTGCACTCATTGTCCATTTTATCAGCTTCTATTACCATATAGTTCTACAATTACAGACTGTAGTCCACCTGTTTCTCTGCATACATTCTTAGTCTCCTTATACCCTGTTCTTCAATGGTCAGGACCACCAGAGAGCTGGTATTATTTGGGTGGTGAATCATTCTCAGCACTTCAGTAACACTGACGTGGTGGTGGTGTGTTAGTGTGTGCTGTGCTGGTACGAGTGGATCAGACACAGCAGTGCTGCTGGAGTTTTAAAACACCTCAGTGCCACTGCTGGACTGGGAATAGTCCACCAACCAAAAATATCCAGGTGAAGAGGGGTGGGATGGGTGGTGCAGGGTATAATAAGTGACATTAAGGCATTTATGATACTTTTTTCCGTTTTGTTCTGCATAAAGTTGGAAAAATTCAGAAAGTTTAGTTCGTTTACATGGTCACCAGATTGATTGTATATAGTGTACGATTTTTACAGCGTCATTCAAACAATCTATCCAACAATTAATAAACGTTGAATGCTAACAGCTCTGCTCACCACAGACCTTGTATGATTCTGGCTAATTCGATTGGCATGGCAACAACCAAGATGACAGATCATCTGTGTCCCAGCAACATTTTTGCAAACGTCACGATTAGTCTTACAAAGCACATCAAACTGGGCTACAAACATCCAAGTTTCATGGAAAAACAACTCAGAGTTGCTGAATGAAGTAGGTAAAGTGTAGCTTTTGGCACAGTGCCACAGTTTGCCTGTTTCTTGAGAAGCAAAGGATATCTTTTGCATAGGCATTCAACCTTTTTTCCAAAGTGAACAACACAGTGTGTTTGGGTGTTCTCTGTCCATAGTTTTGATGTGAAAGAACTGTGTTTGAATAGTTCACATTTTCGTGTTATTTGTTCGCGTTGCCATGGTGCATTATGGCCTGTAAAAAAGCTGAATTTGAGCTGCTGCTGAGGCACTATCACTTTTCAGAGTTTATTCCTGGCTCTGATTTTGCCCTCTTGTTCAGTTTTGATTTCAGGCCCACAGCTTCAACCTGCAGTCTTGATTACTTATTGCATAAACATTTTGTTGCCATAAAACTTTTCATATTAAAAATTACTGAAACTGAAATTGCCTGAGAAAAAAGGTATGACCTGAGACTATTTGCTGAAATGCTTCTAGTTCTTGCTTTTTGAATACTGAACTGTTGTCCTCAAAACCAGAGCGTCAGCGGTGTGCCCTATGGATTAAGAAGCTCTGTGATCCTCTGTCTTCTGGCTCTGGCCTAATGGGAAGGAAGAATCGCAACGCATACACCAGGCTCCTTCTGGTCATGCTGAAGAGAGGAGTCCTCGAGGGCCCGTTTACACACAAGCCTGAACCAGGCAGCCTTAAGACTTTACCTACGTACATGGTAAATTTTTCCAGACAGAACACTTCTGCCTTACCTCTGTCTGTTCTATAAAAACTGCACTAATGTTCAACATTTTGGAATCACAAGCCAGTTTAATTGCAGTATAATGCATTCTAATATGATCCTAGTACATTACCATGAATAGGTCTCAGATAAATTTCATGAAGCTGTAGAAACAGAAAAGTATAAATAAATAAATAGGTATGAAAAGGTTACTGTAATTAGATAATTACACTCCATTTTTTGTTTAATGACCAGTTTTTGTTGTTGTTGTTGTTCCTGAAAAACGTTTTGGTGTCTAGTTTAATGTTTAAACATTCACCATATTTACTAAATAAAAGAAAAGAAACTACTAATACCACAGGCTATATGGTTCTAGTTACAGCATTTCAGTAGGTGTTATAAAAGCTTTGCTTGTGACCATTGTCAAATTTGGGTCATTTGCCTCAACAGTCCATCTACTTTGATGAACCACTGGTGGCTAGGCCTCGGGGACAGAGCTCTGCCATGCTGCCAGACTGGGTGTCTGGCGAGTTGGGTCATGCAGATGACACATGGTCCAGTTTACTGAAAGACTCCTCCTCACCCCTGCCAAACTCGCACAGGTATGACACTTAATCAGTTTAAAAGAATGTAATTGAATTCAATTCAATTCAGATTGTATTCAGAAGCGTCATCTTTTTATTTTAAAAAGCCACAAAAAATTGAAGGCAGAACTACAATGTTTCATCAGCAAAAGCCTTTAAAAATAACAGTTATTGTTAAAACATATTGTTAAACATTTTGCGCACACTCACCGAACAGAATCAACAGCAAGCAACACTGGAACTACGGAAAGCGGGAAAAAAGTTCGAGAAAGGCTGTACGGACAAAAAGTTGACACAGTCGATAACAATGGACATTTAAAGTTAACCTTCCCTGAACTGTTTCGCTTTTCATAGTTCCAGTGTTGCTTGCTGTTGATTTCTGTTCAGTGAGTGCAGCGCCTGAGAGTTTTAATTTGTGAAGGGAAACGTAAATTTTACATTTACATCATTTAGCAGACGCTCTTATCCAGAGCGACTTACAAAAAGTGCTTTGTCTATCCAGAGAAAGAATCTTTGCTAGCTACCAATAGGTTAGAGAGAAAGCCAGTCCTAAACTTAGATACTGCTAGAATCAGAAGGTCATTGACACATAGTGAAAAGGGACAGAGTTAAACACAGAACAGTGCAATACAATACACAAGTGCTGTACTATACATTACAATTGTAAATCAGATGCAACACCGGCAGCTTTATGGAGCTTTATGGAGACTTGCAAGAATCCTTACTTAATTGGTCCAACATCTTTATTACAAACTAAGCTTAGGTTATTTGGGTTATTTACAGTTGGTACAGACAGCTGGTGTATCGCAGCCTTGTGAGGTGGTGCTGGGGGTGTGGTTATCTACTTCACTTCAGGGTCCTATGCTTTCATATTTATGAGTGCGGCACGAGTAGGGCATCATCAGGGGGCGGTAACATTGTTTGACTGATTTGCATATCTGCACCTATAGTGGAGTTGAACCAGAGGGGCGCTGCAGAGGCGGAACTGACCACCAAAAAAGTTTAAAGTTTGGAAAGATGTGTTCACGCTCAAGCAAGGCTGGTATATTTTATTATTACAGAGCAGTGCATTTCAGCTGTTAATGGAAAAAGGTCTTGGGGTGTAGTTACTCTTTAAAGAAATATCAATTCTATATTATGATTAATGTTTCCTTTAGTAAGGAAATAAAATGTCTTCCCTTATAACGCAGCTGATATTCTTTTTGTTGTTGTTGTTGTTTTTTACTTAAAAAGACTCATTATAACACAAGTTGTTACTAATGGATATATAGGTTTTTGGAATTAAAGTCTTTATAGAACAGGTTAAAAAATTAATTAATTATAACTGGTTTGGTTGAATATATCAGAAATTATTGCCAAGAATCCACGTCCCCCAACCTTAGGACGCAACAAACTGCACCACTTTCATCATGACTGTTGAATATAAAAGAGTCGAGATGAGATTAGGATTTTAAGAGAGTACTCTTCCTGAGGACCAGAGTAATGGGGGACTGGTACTTCATGGTCGCCGTCAGTTAGTGGTTTGTGCAAGATAGCCAAAAATAAAACAGAAAGACAACGAAGGAAAGAACAGCGGTTAGTCACTCTGCATGAGGGAATTTAGAAACTCACCCTTCTGTGGGAGTGATGGCGTTTATATGGATGCTGCCTGTCCTCGAGAGAGTGCTGGCAGGTGTGACGAATCAAAGGCAAGCAGACATGCATGATTCTATGGCTCTGCCCTGTAGCCATGAGGTTGTGGTTGTCTGCAACATACATACATACATACATCATCTAAACCGCTTATCCTTCTGGGTCGCGGTGGGGTGCTGGAGCCTATCCCAGCTGTCATTGGGCGGAAGGCAGGATACACCCTGGACAGGTCGCCAGTCCATCGCAGGGCAGACAGACAGACAGACAGACATACATACATACATTGTCTGCAACACTGGTCCTGAAAAGTGGCATCTTCAGCACCTCAGGAAGCACCCGGTTGTGCTGGCAGCTTGGTTCCATCCCGATTTGCTGGCAGAGTGGCAGCCAGCTGCCACAAAGGGTTAACAAACAGATAATCGTCTAATCACAGGAAAGAAAAAAATACAACTTTTAACAGCGCTGGCTAGTTATTTTTGCTTTGTCTTAGTATGGTTTATAAATTGTTTAAGAATAAAATAAACCATTTCTAAGTATGGTTTATGAGTAAAACTAATGAGCCAGACTGAGATATTAGAAATAAGAATACAGTGGAAATAACACTCTGTTCTAAAGTGTTTTGGTGGTCCCCAAATCCTCTACACATACATAGACATACAAAGAGTATCATAAATAAATTAATAAAAAAAAAATAATTTTAGTGATTATAAAATTGATATGCAGTCATTTAAAAATACTAATTTCTTCCTTTACTCTCTTGTGCCAGTCAGTGCATGTGTTCAAACATTACTTATAGGCTATGTTAAAGGCTATACAGCAGCAGATCAACAGTGAAGTCAAACTATTCGGCAGTTTCTATGAGCGACATTAGACAAGCGATTCCGTCCATTAGACGAGATCCCTTTTATTTTTGCTATTTAAACGTTTAAACAGAAGCAGTACCCAGTGGCCTCTTGCAAGTTAATGGTTTATGAATAAAATTAATGAGTCAGATCAGCTTTTTATATGAAGGAGATGACCTTGACCACTTCCAAAGAGCCTCATTAGGCTCATAACAAGTAGCATTTGATTAATCTGGCCAGTGTTTTCCCATCAACTAACTAACCCCCTTTCATTGTTTGCAGTGGAGGGAGTGTTGTGCTTGGCTTGATTAAACACGTCTCTATTAGTCCAGTTTTAACACGTTCTGCGTGTCAGCAGTGTTGTGGATATTGCCTGTGACGGCTGGCCATTTAGGAGCTTTAATGATGTGCTGGATGTAATGACTCTGGGTTTTTCATAGCAATTAACGAAGAGCGGGAGGCAGTTCTTGGTGGCTGGATATCTGGATTAGCATTAGAAAGCAAGAGAACACAGGAGCCGGCAATATTGGATCGCTCTGCACACGCTGGGACATTCAGAGGAGAGAAACAGGCTCTTTAATGCATTATTTAATCCGCCTTTTCATCTAAGTTTGCGGTCGGCATTTGCTTGTTGTCAGACCCAGAGTGTGTCTGGGAAGAGGTCGTTCTATGGTGTTTTATGGGGAATCTTCTAAGTCCGTGTTTTAGCCCGTAATCACTGGCCCCCATTTCAGTTTGTATGTGTGAGTGAAGTAATAAAAATGTGGTACCACACCACTTTTCAAACATCTGCCTGCCAAAAAAATTTAATAACAAGACAACATCTTAGGCTGGTGCTTTAGGCCAAGATTTCTCTTGTATAAGTTATATGCTTAGTATTCTGCTGTGTAAAAAGTTTGCCGGAATGTAATTCCCTGTCATGTTTATAACATCTTTTCCTCCCCCACCTCATTCAAACCATTGACTTTTGTTGGCAGCCTTTCCAATTTCCAAATGCACCAATTGTAGTGCTGTCTAAGGCTTTACAATGCAAACATTTCATTTGCATTTTCAAGTGCTTAAAAGGGTAAAATCACCAGTGCAAATAACTTCTGACACCCAATTAAGGCTCACTGAAGGGTCCTTATCATGGAAAACGGAATATTCAGTTTGATGATGTGGAAACATTTTCAAGACATGCCAGTTATTCCCTGGTTCATAGAGTCCATATATGAAAACTAAACTGCAAAACAGCCTGTTTTAATTAACTTTTTTGTGATGTCACAGAAACCACCGCATTTACACACATCCACCTTTTCAACCTGCGGTAGTTTAGCTTCACCCATTTACGCTAGAGCAGAACTCCTTTATATATCATTCGGAGGAGTACGGTAACAAAAGCAGCCTGTTTATTTATATTAAGGGGTAAGGGGAAATGGTCATGTAAAAAAGAATCATGAGTACACATTTATTAAGTACACAAAACCGCTTAAATGTCACAAGGGGATACTATGGGCAAAAAGTACAAGATATAGGATATGGGCCCTTTAGTATGTGTTACCATCAGAATAAAATCCCCAATGCAGCTCAGCTGGTGCAATAGTTATGTTTCTCACTATGATTACTTGTTTTTTTACTAATACATTCCAAGTGGTGGTATACACACATTTTCCAGATTTGATTTGGTAACAAAATCAGCCCCAAAAATCAAAAGCTACTACAATTTATAAGAGATTTGAGCCCTGTCATTTGACTGTGCGCATGCATAGCATGGTGATTTAGTTATTCTGCCTCGCATTGGGAATCTTTGATGCTGCCTTTTATGTAAACTGGAAAATATTAAACTGGAAATAACTTTAAGCAGTTAAAGGGGAATTCCCACAATTAGAAAAAAAAATTGCATAATTAAATGGTTAAGAAGCGTTGGCCCTATCATCAGGAGATTGCGAGTTTGATCCCTGGTGATACTACAGCCATCCGTGGCTGGGAATCCAAAAGAGCACAATTGGCCTAGCTCTTTTTGGGTGGGTGGGATGGCCCCCCTTCTCCCCCAATCAACCAGTGCGATGCTAGTTAGTGCAGGCGTCTGTTAGCTGATGTGGCAGATCTGGCTGTTGGCCCTTTTCCTCCAAGCGTGTTCGGCTGTCTAAAGACATTGCGTTAGCAGCAGTTTGAAAAGATGCGGTGGCACTTCACAGGACTCGGAGGAAGCCTGTGCTAGCCTTCGCCCTCCTAGTGCTGGTGGTATCGTGTGATTGGGGTAGTCCTGACTAGTGGGTAGAATTGGATATGACTAAATTGGGGAGAAAATTAGAGGAAAACTAAATAAATAAATAAAAATTTTAATGGTTAAGATGTTAACAAAGTCATTCAGAGTGGTTTGAAGTGTGAAATGCTCTGTTCTATAGAAGCTTACAGAGTCAGAATTGGTCACAGCGGTGGAGATAGGAACCAGACGTCTGAAACGCTTAACACACGTGCCAGGATTCAGCCCTCGCAGGCCAAAACACTGCGGATTTCAGCACACTGCCTCACTGAACACACCTAATTTAGCTCATCAACTAA